TGGCAGTCTCGGGACCACGGTACTTGTACTCGAGGTACTTCCGCTGTATGGCAAAGCCTGTAGAAAAAGGAAATGAAAATATCAGCAATCAAGTTGCCAAAACAACGGCGATATGTAAATGTTAGATCGAACGCACCCCAACCACCCCAGACGCCACGGCAGAACTCGAGGGCCAAGTCGCCATCTTTTTTCAATAGCTCCGGTCTTATCTTGTCGAGGGGAACACGCTTGACACAAATGTCTTGGGTTGCGGGGTTGCGCGATGGGTTCTGCTTCTTGTAGACACTGGACGACCAGACGGGGTCCGCCGCGGGGAGGGGGGAGATAACCGGGTTGCGGGTAGCCAGGTAGGCGGCGACAGTCGACGTGCCGAGTAGTCCTGTGAGGACTGTTGTACGAACGAGGCCCATGTTGGAGTGTTTGTATGTGTCGTGTGAAGGGTCTTGAGACGTGTGATCGAGGTCGAGGTCGTGTCGTGAAGCGAAGTGTGGCGGGGAAACTGGAAGCGTCAGATTGGCTGGACGCGGAACGGCCCAAAGAGCACAGCCCAAAAAAGGCGCGAGGAAGATTTTGGTGCTAGTCCATAACGGGAAGCGTTGAATATGGCAGGCCGTGCTGCGGGAACCCTGCATCTGAAATCTAGGCACTAACTAGGCGATTGGATGGGGCGCCACGGACAACAACGCCCGAACAGACTCACCACGATCGAAAACCGAGGAAACAGCCGTGACAGTATTGCAGGGAACAAATATTGTTGACTGGTGTACTGAGGAAACAGCAGATACTATTCATGGTAAAAAAACGATAGCCACCTCCTGCTCTCACCGAGTCTCAGTTCACCGTGTCTGGCGTTCCTCAGCTAAAACATTTGCTCGTCCTTGATTCGCCGACCTCCGGCGTACATCCACCCAAACATGTAAAAGCCAGTGCCTCGGCGCTTGAATAAAACGGGCCATACGACATACCATCATACCCCATACATTTAAAGCGCCTTTGCCCATCCCAGAGCCACCTCCGGATCCAGCCTCGTGGTGTAGTCCGGGTCCACATGAATATTCCGCACAATGCCGTCCTTGTCGACTAGCAGTGTGGTCGGGACGGGGACTTCAAATGAATCGTCGCCATTACGACCCGGCAGGTTGTGGCCGAACTTATCAAAGACCGGCCGGAGCGCGTCAGGTTGCTTCCAGACAATACCGAGTTGTCGTGCAAACCCGTTGCCAACGTCCGAGAGAACAGTAAACTTGAGCTCCAGCTTTTCCGTTGCTGTCAAGGACGTGTCTGGCAACTCTGGGGAGATGGCAACCAAGGTGACGCCCAGGTGAGCAAAATCGTCGATATGGGCTTGGAGATGGCGGAGGGCAATATTGCAGAAAGGGCACCATGATCCACGGTAGAAAGTTATCCTGAGGAAGATGAGTGTTAGCTTGGATGGTATGTAAAGAAAAAAAATTGCAAATGTCCTACAACGCAGAACTTACAGAAGCGCTCCTGTTGACAGCAGCTCTTTTAACGACACCGACTTCCCAAGGGCATCCTGGAGTTCGAACTCGGGGAGTCGTTGCCCTTCCTTGACGACGGCGCTGCGGTCAAACTTGGAAATGATGTCGTTACGTGACGCGATAATCGGTCCCTTGGCGAAATCAGGAGCATGCTCGTGAAAGTTGGACCAAGTGGCCGAGCATTCCTCAGTGACGTTGGGCATGGTCAACAGGGAATTCTTCTGTTTTTTCCTTTTTCTTCTTTTTTTAAGAGAATATAAAATGTTGTTTTTCACTGTGCTGGAGGATAGGGAAGAGGACTTGGGGACTTGGGTTGAAGGAAAGGTGGCTTTTTGGGGTCATCGTGCTGGTATTTATGTCGTTTTGCTATCACATATGGACGTGTCTGTGGTGGACAGGCGCTGTCTTACGGCTGTGGCGGCCCGGATATGCATTCACTCGGATATATCCCGTAATGCAGAACCGAACGGAAATGCAACCGACGACCAGCATACAGAAGTGTAGGATTTCCTCGTCAAACAGGGCAGACGCAGAGCGTGTACCTTGACGCGCCTTGTGAGGGCTTTTTGGTTACTTGACAAAAGGCGCTAGAGAGGTGCCTTGTTCGGTACGAAATACAGCGCTGCACTTTGGAAATTTGACCACTCTCGGTTCGCAGCCCGTCGGACTTTTTCGCACGAACTCGGACGAACCAGTTTGGATCTGTGACACGACAGTGCCTGTGATCGATATGCACCAGAATTTCTTGCCCATCCCGAATTACTGCACGACAAACCTAAATTACCATCTTGGGAACAATTGTATAACGTGAGAGAGTGCATTCTTAAAGGCCCCTACTCGCTTTTACAACCCACATTATTTGGTGCAGTCACTTTCTTGACGCCCTACAGAAATGACCGACCGCGACCAGACAACGCCGCAGAAACGCATGCGGCTAGGCACGCGCAGCTGCGCCGAATGCCGCCGCCGAAAGGTCCGCTGTGTTTTCCAAGAAGAGAGTGCAGTATGTGTGGCCTGCATGTTGCATGGTGTGACATGCCGAGCTCAGCAACCTGCCACTGCGCTGATTCCTGCACCCAAGACAGCCCGCACCGCTAACATCGACAACGGATCAACTCGGACCGGAGAAGAAGGTTCCTCATTGGCCCTGTTACAGAAGCTTGATGAGATGGAGTCGATGATCAAAGAAATCCGAGGCAGTGGTGCACTGACCGGGGCATCAACTGCCGCTACGGGGTCAAAGTCGCTTTCGTCCGGGATCTCGGATGAGCTCGAGGAAGCTGAACGGCGACGTCTTTTATCCACAGCCAGCACAACACCATCGCCTTCGAATTCCGGCCTCGAACCAAATAGAGCGAAAACGGCACATCACAGTGCCACCGATGCCCTCAATGCCTTTGGCAACACACCGTTGGTGACGCTCTTCCGGGAAGCATTACGCTTACCCGAAAATCACGGAAGCTCCCATGGAGCAGCAGCAAAATTCTCAACGTCCCCTGAGCTACCAACCAAGGGGCCGGCACTCTTTCAGCAGCCTTGTGTGACAGGATTTTCCCGCAGCATGCTGCTAACCGACGCGTGCCTTCGTGCGGTTGTGGATGCAACAACCTCGTGTTTTGCCGTCTTTCCACCCTGCGCCCTTTTCCAGCAACCGGCAGCACACCACACTCCTGCTGTAAGACCAACCATGTTGAATACGGCAGATGCAGCAACGGCGACTGCCGATATCCGCGTTGCTCTATGGTCCGACAACCTCGACGCAGCGGCCAAGGCCGTGGTTTTGGTTGCGCTATGTTTGTACGAGCTACCTCAGTCGTGGACTGCCCAGTACACCGAGCTCGCTGACACGCGGTCCCTGATTGATATTTACCGGCGCCAAGCGGCACGGATGCTTTCGATATCATCAGAAAATGGTAACTGCACACGCGATGGTGTGGAGGCGCGATGTCTCCAAGTCAAACTGCATGTAGACCTTGGCCTGCCGCGCAGGGCGTGGCTTACCGCTCGCAAAGCGGTCAGTGACTGTCTCATCCTTGGGTATCACCGTGCCGGCCGCCAGGGCAAACCGCATGAGCAGACTCTGTGGAATTTTGCTGTACACATAGAGCGGGAAGCATCCATGATTTTGGGAATGCCGTCGTCGATTTGCAGCCACGCCAAGTACCTTCTTCCGATCTTGCCGATGGATGACACAAGTTTGATACCCGAGTTTCGTCTTCTGCACGAGATGACGTCCCTTCTGGGCGCTGTGATAGACCACTACCAGGTCATTATGGCTCCGCCACCACCAGGTGTCGTCACAACAGACAATCTTGGACCAAACTATGCAAAGACATTCGAGTTGGACCAGGCATGGGAGTCCTGTCGGCAAATTATGCCGGCAGGCTTTTGGCTTGAAGATCATACGTCACCTGCGATCCGCGACCTCAGCTTCGTTGACGTATCCATACGCCAGAACATCAAGATGCGCTACTACATCATCGGTCGTCATATCCATCTTCCGTATGTTCTCAAGGCTAAAAATGACCGGCGATATATGTACAGTCGAACTACCTGCCTCGACGCATCACGCGAGATTATTGCCGCGTACCAGGTAATTCGTAACCGGGGAAACGAAACCTGGTCTCCATGCGGACTGATTGATTTCGAGACTTTCTCAGCTGCAATGGTCCTGGCATTGGCCATGCTCCAGGACTCTAGTTCACGTCGCGCAGGTGGGTCTCGCGAACGAACCCGCCAGGAAGAAGAAGACTACAACCTTCTTGTCGACCTGTCTCTCTCACTCCGCAAGACTCATCTTCTTAGGGGAAGCTGTACCGTCGCCCATCGGGCCGCCGATGTGATGGATATTATTCTTCCCATTCTCCAAGGACAATATCGGCGGTCAACCCAGGTCGGTGCAATATCGAGCACCACAACGGCCGATCACGACATAAACATTCCCTTTTTTGGGCGATTGCGAGTGACATTTTCCCATGTGGATGTTGACGAGTCACTGAACCAGTCATTGTCGCCGTTTTCCGTACCGCAAACGCAGGCATTGGACGGAACGGACTCGTCCGCCACATCGCAACTTGCACGAATACCCTATGCCGAACCGCCTCCGGTTATTGAGTTTGGTGTGCCCTTTTGCAATCTCGACTTCCATAACAATTTTGATTTTGACTTGGAATTGAACGCAGACTGGATGGATGGCACTGATACGGGCATATACGATTGGACCACAATGCTAGCCCCGGGGCTGGCATAAAGTTTACGTATTGACAGGCTTGTTGATTTGTTGATATGCTACATCAACTACGAGCATGAGTCAAAATACTGGATATTTGCCGCCAATACTATTTTCTTGGTCGTATTTTTTTGAATTTTTGTTTGTGGACAGAACTTAGATGAAAGAAGACGTACATGATTTGTACGATGGGATCTAAACACACCGACAAAATGTAGAAGGAAAATACATTCAATGACCAAAAAAGAAAAGAAGAAAACGCCCCTTGCCTAAGTCTGTGCAATCATGTCAGACAATGTAGCAGCAAACGCGTCGACTATGCTAACAATCAAATTGCCATCACCTCTCGCGAGGTCCTCGTCACAACTGACATCAACACTAATGCTCCCACTGCGAACAACGACATTAAGGTAGATATTTTCTGGTGCAAGCCACGATGTATCAACGCTTTCCACCGTAGATTGTATATCACTGTGTGCCACAGTCGTCGTGAAATATTCCGATGCAAGGGGCTCACCAAGATGATATCGCTGGAGACCTTGGTTGCATCCCTGGGCATTGCCATTTGTTGAAGTGTCCTTGTCAGCGCCAGAAAAGAGAATGTTGATGTGTGTGTTGTATGGAGCAGCCAACATGTGGAGGTCGTCCGCCTGCGCAAACTTGGTTAACGCGGCTAGATGGTCTTGAACTGCTCGGAGTGGCTGCAGGTCTCCTTTCAAATCGATGCTTACGGGGACCACTGCCATTGTGGGTATGGTCTTATCGGTGAGCTCTAAAGTTTGAGCGCCATCAGGTGATGAGAGTGAACGGGCAGAGTAGTTCACGCCGAATGTAGGCCGAACGCGATCAGTAATTTGGCCCAGGGCACACGCATAGGACGCAATGATCGCTGAGGACGTTTGCATTCTGTTTGCGGTGGCGCTCGTAGAAGCAACGTCTGGGTAGCTGGCCCTGAAATGGAAGCCCAGAGGAGCTGTGGAGACGGTGGTCGACGACAATGCAGTTGGCCGGATGATGGTGTCCTGAGAACCAGAAAGATAGCGTTTCCAGTATGCCTGCTCTGCAGTGAAACTGCGGAAACGAAATATTTCATGCATAGCAAACCGAAGCGACGGCTGCGTTGATAGAGATGGGACTCCATCAAACAGACGGAGAAGATCACCCAGTATCATCTTGATGCTCCATGCATCGTAAAGAGAGTGGTGCATACGGAAAACTATGGCCTGGCCATCTGCTGCTTCGAGAAAGGACAGACGGGATGGAGGAGAACGGAGATCGGACGGCAAATTGTTGGTCTCGCGCACGTACGTCTCAACTAGACTCTTAATTGTGACCTTGTCGTCACGCAGAGTGGTGAAGCGAGCTGCTGGAGACATGGTTGTGTTGAACGTCACCTGGACCAGACCAGGGACAATGCTGTTCTGAGGGGCAACAATCGTGGTTCGCAAAATATCATGCGCGCAGCAAAGTGACGTCCAAGCATTCGCAGCTTTTTCCACGCTGATGGACTTGCCATCAGAGACGCGGTACACCCAAGGCGCCTCGAAAAACCGCTTGCCACTGTGCAACCAGTGCTGGAGTGTGTGCTTTTGGCCGGCAAGAACAGGAAGCACAGACTGGATTTGATCGACGGACTGAAGGCCAAGGATTTCTGCAGCCAATGACTTTGCGAGCGGTTCGTCTTTGATTACTTGTCTCTCTGGCAGTGGTGACGGAAGCTGCTGACTTTCATCCTCGGTGTAATTTTCGATAGCCGAGTGCTCTCGGACGATACTCTCGATACTGGCGCCTTTCATGATATCAAATACGCTGACGTGGACGTTAAAGTTTTTCTTGAGCATATTTGAGAAGCGGATGGCCGAGATCGAGTCCAGTCCGACATTGATGAGCTTGGTGGCATATCCAACCTTGCCGCGGATGCGTGAGCCGACAACCTTCATTGCCAGCTGCAAAACCGACTCTGCAAGTTCAGTTGACCCTTTTATGTCCACGTTCACGTCCGAACCATGTCTCTGGCTCCCACTGCATCCATGTCCATTCACCATGGTTGGGAAACTCGTAGAGATATCAGGATCCAGGGCCACGGAATGTAAGCTGGCCGATGCCAAGTAGTGAAGTGCGGCTGCTAACTGGCTGCCAAGGCGCTGCGTGGCATCTTCGCTAACCTTAGTACGCAACGCACCATGGAGAACGCCGTCATGAATTCGGAAGCTTGAAATGAAGGGGTAGTCGTCGTACATTGGCTCCTTTTCAGTATTACTAGGGACAGTCTGCGCATCGGTGCCAACAGGTAGAATATATTGTTCGTCGGCAGTGGCTGATGATGTGTCCACGGAGACATCGCCATCAAACACAAATAAACTCTGGAACAGACCGGCAGACGTATCGATCCCATCAGATCTCGACGATCGCCAGGCTGTCTGCACTTCACGTAGAGACGCCATGCCATTCGGTCCACGAGCCTGGTCGCCAAGGCGTTGCAACTGTGACAGCGCGTCTGCGATATTCACGTTAGGGCCAAGCCGAAGACGCATGGGAATTGTGTTGATAGTTGGACCCATGACTACAGCCTCATCTCCGGTGATAGTTACATCGTCGCTGGTTGTCGTGATCACCTCCCCAAAGACCATATCGACGTGGCTGTAGAGTCGCTCACAAAGAACCTTGGCCCATGAAAGCTGTAGTGCTGTCTTGAGAGCTACGTTGGCTTTGCGGCAGGTCGTTTGGAGGGCAGATAGAATGTCAGTGCCCACAATAAAATGAAAGGACGACGATGCATGTCGCTGTTGTGTAAAAGTCACGCCATCACTGGACACCACCACCGGAACATAGTTGTAATCCTGAACAGTGTTTACCCAAAATGCAACTGCGGTCCGTTGGGCCACGTAGACTTGCTTTGCAAAGGGGCGGTAGAGGAACGGCCGCTGTTTCTCGGCTTTTGCAATGGTGCCCGATAAGTGGTGTGCATAATTCTCACTAAGAAGACGCCATAGAGCGCGGATGGAGTTGGCATCGTAGAGTGCGTGATGGATGTGCAGTCGGATGATACCGGAAGCTGAGACCTGCCAATCCACAAGATCACTCACTTGGGTCGACGAGACGATGCCGACCCATGGCGTATTTTGGTTGTCTGTCAATATAAACCGGGTACGGAGAATCTCACAAGAGAGCACTGTGTCTCGTACAGCATCGAAAAAATGTGAAAACGCCGGTGCGTCCAGTTGACACGCAGACGCAGATATCTGCTTGCTGTGCGTGTATGTGTAAGCTTGATCGGCAAGAGCGAGTGACGCGCTAAGCATGCCTTCCTGGAGCGGTGTAGCAACAAAGAGGAGATCGCGGGCCACTTCGTGCAAAGTATCTTCAAAGTCAGGACCCATATCGACAACGGGAACGACGTCATTGTCCTCGGATTTTAGACTTGCGCCTTGGTTCCTGGTAGCGCAAACAAGAGAAGCAACGCCTTGTAAGGTGCGTGAGCTCAAAACGGCATTGGGAGTGATCTTAGTTCCCTCCAACTTGTTCAACATCTTGACAAAAGGTAGCACGTTGATGGAATCGAGGCCGAGTCGATATAGAGAGGCCTCCAACGGGACGTCTTCTTCGGACAGGTGAAGTAGTCGACAAGCAACAGAACGGACGGAGCCAAGAGACGACTGGGTGTACTGAGTTCCATTTTGAACAGAGGCGGCGATCGAAATGGTTTTGGGATTGGTAATTTGTGAATCGTTATTCTCAGTGGCTGATCCTGCATTGACTGGCACAAATTGGTCAACAGTGGCGTCATTTCTGGCGGCATTCTCCACCACAATCTCGAATAGACGACCTGCATGGTCAAGCTGTGTCTTATCCAAGACTCCTCCGGACGCTAATAGTAATTCGATTCGCCCCTCCGAGTGGATCTCAACGTCGATGGCCAAGGCCATATCTGTCATTGCGTTTGCTGGAAGAGCACGCATGATCGCTGGCGCGGAGGCATCGTCGGAGGTGTCGTCAATAAAATTGACAGTTAGGAGGCTATCAAAAAGCTTCTCGTCGACGCCGGCCCATCGCTGGATTTGGTCTGCGGTGATAAATGGCATATCTCCTTGACTGACGTCTGCATGGTTCTGCTCAACACGAGCCGCAAGGTGCCGCAGTGTCTCTCCAGGGTCCGTTATCAACAAAGCATGCACCACCGTATTGATACAAGGTCCCACAAGGCTGTCCATGTCTTCAGCAACTTGGGGAAGCAGTGTGCGGAAAGATGTAGTGTAGCCGTAGACAATAGAAGAAGAGCCGGGCGTTAAGCTAGCCAGAACAAGGACAGTGGCCAGCTGGAATGCTGATGGAAGAGAGACAGACTGCAGTTTTGTCTTCAGCTCGGACACTGTGAAGCTGAGGAGCCGAGTCGCGCGAGCAGTGTCATGTTTAGAAGACTGATTGGACACAAGCGAGTGACATTCAACTCGGCAGGGCGAGATGCCAGCTAGTTTGGCCTGCCAGGTGACTCTAGCCGAATGCATGTGGTGGCTAGGGAGGTCGAGGTGGCTGGCGAGGTATCTGAGAGCTGTCAAGCTGTCGTCCCGACTGGCAGTTACTGGAATGCCACTGGTGATGGCATGATAAGCCTGTTCAATCTTGTTCTTGAGGGCGACAATGGCGGCTCCATCATACAGGGCGTGATGAATCAGTAGCGTCACAAGGCCACTCTCTTCAACACGGAGGCGAAAGGGAGGCCGGGATCCCAAGTGCTCGACCAAGGTAGTGCATTCGTCATTTTCGATTTGGCTGCCTTCTATATCAAATGGAGAAGGTGTGGAGGTCAACACAACCTGAAAGTATTTTCCGTCTCGGTCACGTTGAACAAAACAGGTGCGGAGAATGGCTTCTGATGAAGCAATCTCTCCAGCTGCCTGCTTCCATGCCGTAATGTTAGTTCCAGGTGCCAGCTGGTAGTTAAACCGGGTCACGTAAGGGACTTGTCTTCCATCAGTTATAACCTGGCTGGCATGTCCACTGTACAGCCAATTCAGAGACAGAGATATCAGTACTGATTGTAGAGGTAGGCATGGGAGAATTGCGGCAATGTTGGACGGAACAATGTGGCTGGCACTCGGACCAAGATCATCAAGAGTCAGTTCCTCGACATGCAAACTGCCACTAGCGCTGGATGAGAAGGCCCGCTCAGACGACGACGGTTGGGTTTCTCTGCTGCCGTTGGATGTTGCGGGAGAGTTGAATTTCCGAGAAAGTGAGTGAAGGGATTGCGATGGAGAGATAATATCAGTGAGCATGACATTCACAAAGCCACGGCGCTTGAGTACCGACAGCAGATGCACACCCGACAAACTGTCGATTCCGAGGCTGCGAAGGTTGCTGGATGAAGACACACAGGTGTTGTTTAGTCCATCTAATACTTCTGTAAGGGCAGAGAGAACTTCTTTTTCCGGTCCTGAAAGGGTACCAGACGGACAATCGGCGGCAGTTGAAATCCTTGGGCATTGAATTCCGCTGTCCAGAACGGTATCGGAATTTCGCACCAGATTCTCAATGTGTTTTGTGTCAAGCTTTCCCGAGGCCGCAAGGAAAGGTATTTTGGACAGCCACATCATTTCCGGCACCATATACGCAGGAAGGGCCCTCTGGCAAGCCTTCTCGGCGGCGATCAGTACGTCTCGGTGTGCCTGGCTCGGTGGGGGGGAGAGAATCTCGGCCGGAGCGTCGCGCTCTGCTTTGAAGAGAGAATCAATTTTTCGTGCCACGAGGCCGATGAGCCGTTGGTCCACCACGGCGGCTGTAACATCAAAAGGGCCTTGGTCAGCGATGGCCTTTTTGATGTGTTCCTCAACCTCGCCAATCTCAAAGCGCTGGCCGCGGATCTTTGTTTGCTGATCACGACGACCAAGGAACTCAACGGTGCTATCGTGCATCATGCGCATGATGTCACCCGTACGGTAAATACGCTTTTTTGTGCCATTGATATCCAACAGGGAGGTATCTTGGAAGCTGCGGGCATTTTCGTCGGGGCGATTCAGATAACCCACAGCAACCTGTGGTCCGGAAATACAGAATTCTCCAGGCTGGCCCCTTCGAGCTACAACCTGCTCGTCGCTGTCATTGTTGGATACAAGGAGAAGTGCCTCTAGGCCTGGTAGCGGAAGGCCGAGGTTGCGTGCGTTGGAATGGTGTCCGATGACATGGCTCAAGCAACCCACAGTTGCCTCGGTTGGGCCGTAAAAGTTCATCAAGGCAGCGTTTGACCCGTCTCCGCTGTCATCACCGCCACGCAATTGGTCGAAGAGGGCATGCGATGCCTTTTCGCCGCCAAAGGTCATCACACGAATCGACGGCACATCCGACAATTGCAGGCCAAGTCGCAGCAGAACTGACGGTACGGTGCCCATGTTCGTGATGCCGACAGTGTTTATGACGTGTTGCAAGTTGGCAAAAATACCGTTGCGGTCCTTTCCGATGACGGAGCTGAAGCCAAGGTGCCAGGGCGCGAACATGGTAGTCAGATGTGTATCAAACGCACGGGAGGCCACATTGAGGAATTTGCCTCTGCCGCCGAGGCGTGCCATCTCGGAGTTGGCTTCAGTGAGGCGTTGTGTCATGGCGGCAACGAAATGCAAAAGGCTCTCATTGGCGACCCGCACCCCCTTCGGCTGACCCGTGGAGCCAGACGTGTACAAAAGGTAGCCGCCATCGTCTGACGTGGTGGTGGGGATTGCATCAGTTTCTTGTGAATGACTGGCCCATGACTGAATGGTGGCCAGGCCACTGTTGCCCTCTGGAAGAAGAAACACCGCAGGTACTTTGTTCTGCTCGTTGTCCAGTTCCAGATCCCTCACCAACGTCTCTGTAGTGACAACGACTTTGGCATTTGCATCGCGTATCAAAAGCCGTTTGCGTTCAAGTGGGAGGTCGCCATCAATGGGTAAGTAGACATAGTTGAGCTTGAAAATAGCCAAAATCGCTGCAAGAGATGTGGTGTCGCGCTCAAGATACACGGCCACGACATCCCCAGCTGCAGCACTAGTAAGCGCTATGAGGCGAGAACTGATAGCGTTGACAAGAATCTCCAATTCGCCGAATGTGGTGGCCGCAGTGGAAAGTGAATCATCTTCGCCAAGGAAGATCTCCTCAATAGCTACCCAGTCTGGGTGGTCTGTTGCCTGTTTGGTGACAAGTTCGGCCGGGTTCCGTGCGATTACAGAGCCCACAAGTGTACGTGGCTCACCCACAATCGACACCAGGGCGCGGTCCAGGTGGTTGGCGAGCCGTGACAGCGGTATCCCAGGATGGGCCAGCATTGCGCTGGCTTGGTCGACAATTTGGACTAGGAGAAGATCCAGCATGGATTGTGAGATTCGGCGAGCATCGCCCGTCAACTCAATGGTACCATCGCCTTCAAAGATATTGAGAGCTAAGGGATGCTCGACCTTTAGGGGGAGTGCCACGCCGACTTCATAGAACAGATGTTCGACGCTATTATTGTCCTTGTCGGCATATCCTGCTGCAGGGTGGTAGACGAAAAGTGCCGGGAATGGCTCAGATGCGTTCTCACTGCCCTTATTGACCATCTTTTTGATATCGACTGGGTGCAAGTGATGTGCAAGTGCACCGAGGGAGGAAGCATCGCGGGCCATCTCAGCCCAGAGGGCCAGTGCGCTAGCCGCACATGATCGGATGGCCACCGGGATGGTCGCAATGGCGGGGCCTACAACATGCTGAAGGTCGGTATGTAGAATACGCTGAGACACGGTTTGCCCAAGAACGACGGTCTTGAGCTCCAGAATGGCCGCTAGAACACAGCCAAACGCCGACAGCAGAAGGCGCGACAAGTCTGGTGTGCCGACGTCTGGCGCAGGGGACGCAGGAGATAAAAGGTTGAAGGGGATGACAGTCTTCGCTGACAAGATTGCATGTAGTGGAAGTTGGCGTGAGCCTGTCAGATCAGGAAATGGGGCGTTTACGGCACCGTCCGTCTCGATAAGGCCGCTGAGGTGCTCAGCCCAAGCAGCGGACGCGTCCTGTCGCTGCATGACGGACGGCACGAGCCCCACTTCTAGACCACGTGACATCTGCAAAAGGGGAAGTCCGGAACGGCCCGTATCCGCTGACGGGTCCCGGTACAACTGTGTTACAACATCCAGGAGCATCTTCGAAGACTCACCATCGTAGAGTGAGTGGTGCATACTTAACATGAGCGTCATGGTGGCTGGGGCATAGACAAGTGCCCATGGCGGCCGCGCGCAATCACCACAGAGTGGCGAGAGACGGGTCTGTATTTCGCGTGCATGTGATGCCAAACAGCCTTCAACGTCGACCGTGTCACTGATTTCAGTCCAGTCAACTTCAGTGTCGTGGAGTACAACCTGAAGCACGGTGGCATGGACGCCACGTGTCCGGGCCCACTCGGCTGCGCTGATACTATCTGTGTCTTTTGGAGACAACTGAGATAAAGGAACAAAAGCGGTCCGAAGGATGTCGAAGCGCTTGGTTGCCGCCTCCCATGCGGCACGGAGATGGCTCATATCCGCAAGACCAAGGCGCTTGAGTGTGAAAAGACGATGCGACCAATAAGCCCCGGGCTCAATCATTGTCTCGACAAGAAGAGCTTCTTGGACGGGAGTTGTGGGCAAAATGTACGAAGTATTTGAGGGTCTGAGGGTGCCATACAGGTTCTGAGTGAGCTCGTCTCTTAACACAGAAAACCAGGTGGTACATGTACCAACATTTGTGGTCTCAGTGTTGGCCATTTCACCGACTTCGCCATTTGTCATGGACACTAGCACCACGTCAACAAGCTCGCCCATGGTCTGGCAACGCATGAGTTCGAGCACGCGTATGTCACACTTCAAGCTCCGTCGCAGCGCCCAGGCTAGTTTTGTGATCTGTAGAGAACTGACTCCGTGACCAGCGAGACTGTCATCTGGGTTCAGTGTCTGCAACGGTTGCTTAGGTACAGCCAAATTATCCATGACAGCCTCCACAATGGGCAGTTGCTCCTTGCGCCAAAGTGCGCCATCTTTGATCTCTGCAGACACTCCCGCAAGACCATTCAAATCAGAGTTGCTGTAAATGGATTGCAGTTCCCTGCGATCGACTTTGTTGGACGCCGTACGCGGCATCGTTGAGTCCAGGACGGCAACATGGCCAGGGACCATGTGGGCTGGTAAAACTTCGCGTGCCTTTTTAAAAACCCTGCGGCGGATGCGGGTGGTGTCAAGAGAGTAGTCCAATGTCTCTTTGACTGACACAAAACTAACAATGACTTTGTGGCTAGCGTCACCGTTGGGCCGTGGCAGATATAGCGTCTCGACATGTTCTACGGCAGGTTCTTCCTCCTTGACAAGGGCACAGGCCGCACTGATCTCACTGAGCTCGATGCGAATGCCACTTATCTTAATCAGATCGTCGTTGCGACCGAGAAACTCGAAGCCGTGGTCGTTGAGCCGCACCATGTCGCCTGTTAAGTAAATGCGTTCGCCGATTTGCGGACCACCGTGGATAAACGACTTGGCCGTCTTTGTCTCATCGTTTAAATAGCCCATTCCGAGCTGCACACCACCAAGAGCCAGCTCGCCAACGCCGTACCGGGGCACAAGCTCCCATTTCTTGGCGGTATTGGATCTTTCATCGTTTGGCGAGGTGAACACTTCACGCACCACATATGCCGTGCAAGGCGTTAACGGGAACCCAACATTGGAAGCCTTGGCGCGGTCGCGGCTCTTGCCAGAAAACTGGCGCATAGTTGATACGACGGCATTTTCCGCTGGCCCATAGGTGTTGTATGCCTTTGTGGTGATTTCTGGAGCAGCCCACGCGTCGGCAACGTCCTCTGTCAACTTCTCTCCAATAAATGTGACAACGCGAAGTGTAGATCCTGCCAGGTCACGGACATCAATGCTAGCACCAAATGACGGCGTTAGATGTGCATGTGTGGGAGCCGCAGTCTTGACAAACTCAGAGAACGTGCCCAAGACAAGCTCCCGAGTACCACTGATGACGCTGCCGGCCAATCCCCACGTGTAGAAGAGGTCCTGTACAAACACGTCGAAGCTGTAGGCCGACAGCTGGAGCGTTCGAATCGGGCCACCTGCAACATCATGCTCAACACGCACTTGCAAATCACGCATGGCGTTAGCGGCCGCACGGTGTTGAATCATGACACCCTTGGGCTCACCTGTGGTACCCGACGTCCACAGAAGGTATGCCAGGTCTTGCCCGGTAATTGAGCTAAACGACGAATGCCTAGAGCGAGAGGCAACAGACTTCCGTGGCATCGGCCTGTCTTTTGCCGCATGACCGGCGTAATCATCGACGAAGATGACACGCACGTCGGCCAGACTCTCGTGGGAGAGACATGGCTCCACTAGGGGGAAAGAGCTCCTCGTGGTCAACAGTACCTTGCCTTTTGTCCGAGAAATGAGCGATGTGCGTCTTTGAACTGGCGATGTCTCGTCAATAGGCGACCATGCGGACCCAGCTTTAAGGATGGCCAGGATCGACACATATAGCTCGATGCTGCGATGCATACAGATGGGGATGATATCGGCATCTTCGAGCCGGATAATATTGGCCAAGCCGTTGGCACGGGAATCGAGTTCTGCGTATGTCATATTGATTGGTGGAGCGTCCAGTGACGTGTAGAAACTCAGCGCCAACAGATCTGGTGTGCTGGCGGCCTGGGACTCGAATTGGGCGTGGAGGACGTCGATGCGCTCTTGGTTCTCGCTGTGATCTGTTGGAATTGGAATCGAGCCTTCCACTGACAGAAGTCTGTGTGGGAGTCGTGCCAATAAACTCTGTGCCAGGTCATTTGGCCCGGCGTCCAGTAGCGTTTCTGTGAGTGCAGCGAACTGGTGCACAATGACCCGGGCGCTCGTCTCAGACAAAACATTGTCATGGTATGTGACCTTGAACAGAAGTGCATCACCCTCAGGTACTACCTCTGCAAACACATCCAAGTCATAGCGGATAGGCGCGTGCGTAACCACCGTCCAGGGAACATCTGCCTCAGTCTCGGTTCCGTAGGCCTGAAGTGCTAGAGCCGTATTATAAGGCAGCGCTCGAAACAGTCCAAAGGACATGTGGCGATGGCTTTGCATAAACCTTGCAGTGTCAACAAGGCTGACCAGTAACGCTCCCAGTGTTTGGTTCTCTGGCAGTGCAACACGGCATGGTACAACGGAGAATGTGGGCGCTTCGAATGCTTCGTGTTGACCTGACAAGACACTCCCAAAAACAATTTCTCCTTTGTTCGCCTCTGACCAGACCCCGAGCAGCAGTGACCAGGCTGCTTGCAAGATGGCCAGCGGCGAGGCACCCAAGTTGCGGCTCTTAACTTCTAGAGCAGGCCATGAAATGCTGCTTGGGTACTCAGCTAGCAGCGACTGCTGATCTACCGTTGCCTTGACATTGTCGCCACTCAGGGCATGGAAGCTATCGGTCTCCCAGTCTCGCAAAGAGTCTTGCCAGTAGCGGTCCGTGTCTATGTCTAGATTCTGGGCCCAGTCGAGCACCGAATCCCGCAAAGAGTGTCGCTGCAGGGGTTCGAGTCCGGCGTACTCTCGTGCAATGTCGCTGAGCAGAACCTTAACGGATGCACCGTCACAGAGGCAGTGAGCAATGGAGATGATGACAAGCCCCCTGTCGATTTTGCCTGCGTCGGGTTCAACCAGCTGCACATAATACAGCTTCTGTGCGTCAAAATCCATATTCTCTTGGGCGATCCGAAGCCAGTATTGTGTATTTCCAGTGCCACGCCTGCGCACAACCCGGGTACGGTGGCCTTCCGATCTCTTCCATGCCAAGGGAGTCAGCACGACTTGTGCAAATGGTGACATGTCGTCACTGCATGGCACGATAATACTGCGGTAGACATCATGCCGACTCAGGACGGTGCGAACAGCGACCTCGAAAGAGTCCATTGACACACCCGGTTGCAGTCGGAGGACGGTGCTGCTAATATAGTTTCGACTGTCCATGGCAAAGCTCACAGCCAATTGGCTGGCTGTACTTGTCATTGGCAGCACCATTTCCACGTTGTCCTCTGACATTGAACTCAGTTTCTCCAAAGACGCAGCTGTATGTCGAATAGCAAACATCTCCAATCTCTGCTGCGCTGCCATTTGCCTTTGGCGTAAGCGAGAAGAAATTGAAGCGGACCCAAAAAATACCGAACGGATACTGGCCTCTGGGTCAAGAAGCAGAGACAGTGATGGTTGCAGTTCAAAGTGGATTGATCTTTCTGAGTCATCTTGTCCAAAGTTGCGGTTCCGGATCTCGCGCAATAGCCGCATGGCCCGGAGGCTATCAATGCCAACCAAAGCAAGCTTTGTCGTGGCAGTTAACAGAGGATGGTATTCGTCCCCACCGATTAGGGATGAGAGAATCTTGACTAGCTCAGCTTCCACATGAGCATACTTGGGGTAGTCCAAGTCGTCGACAGCGGTCTGCCCCTGAGATGCGCCTGTACCAGTTGCGGTCGGCTGCCGTAAAGCAATTTCCACGTAGGCGGAAGCAGCTCTGCGATCTACTTTCCCTGATGCGGAGCGAGGCAGGTCAGCGACCTCAAGGATGCGAAATGGTCTCATGTAGTCCGGCAAATGCTGCCTTGCAGCCTCGGCGCAATTGGCACTAACAATGGCAAAATCAAGGCCAGTTGTATGGTCCACCACGACCAGATTCACTACCCTTTCGGAGCCCAAGGATTCGTTTGTGCTACTTTCTCCCTGCGGCATCCAGACACAAGAAAGCGTTTGCTGGACACCGTCCGCCTTGCTTGCCAGGACGCTCTCGATCTCGCCCAGTTCCACACGGCGTCCGCTGAGTTTCACCTGCGCATCCGAGAAGCGGCCAAGAAATTCCACGACAGGCTCGCCTACATCGTTCCAGACTATGCGAGCACGGTCGCCAGTGCGGTACGCTCGGCCCCATTTTTGGTCGTCCACAAAGGCCGCACGAGTTTCGTCGGGGCGATTCAGGTATCCTGCCATACTGACTTGCGGGCCAGTGAGAACTAGTTCACCTACACCGCCCCGGGGTATAGGAATGAGGTCATGACGATTTGCTTCAACAATCAGTATGCCACACGTTGCCAGCGGTGAGCCAATGACAGATCCACGTTGGTCTGCCGGAACGTGCGGCTGGGCCAGTGAGTACATGGCTACTTCTGTTGGTCCATATCCATTGAAGATACCTCTGGGGAGGTCGCAAGTCTTTCTGACCTCGTGCTCGGAAGGGGGTATGTCGGGGTTGTGCTGCGCATAGTTTTGTAGAAGGCGTGCGTTGAGAGTCTCGCCACCGACCATGAGCCCAGTCAAAACAGAGGGGCTAATGAGACTGGCAAAGCTCGGCGTAACATTGGTGATATTGGCTTGTAAAGTTGACAGAACGGCATCGATGTTCTGCATGGTCAGATGTCGCGGAGCACAACACAGCGTCGATCCAGTGCTTAGTGTCCAGAAAATCTCGAAGAGCGAGATATCAAAGGTGGGCGCGGCACCTTGGAACCAGCGCCACGTTCTGCCGTCTTCTGTAATTTTTGCCGAGGGAGAGAAGCCGTAATGCTGACTGAGGGCACTCACTGTACAAGCGGCTGATCGGTGACTAACAACGACACCTTTGGGGAGCCCTGTCGTACCAGACGTGTATATGATGTAGGCAGCACTAGTATCGGATGCCGAGGGTCTATCTAGCAGAGAGCGTTGGGGGACTGTTTTCTCATCACAACCAGACAAAAAGTCGCTCACATTGACCTGTACCAGAGCTGTATCGATGGGCATTTTGTCCCGTATAAGAATGGCCACTGGCTTCAAATCAGCCAAGAGTGCCTCCTGCCTTTCCTTTGGTGCATCCACTGGAAGCGGGCAGAATGCGAGACCGGCCTTGAGAGCGGCGAGGTAACCAACGTACAGCTCTGGACATGGCCCTACGGCCACGGCAATAATCTGGACTTCACGGTGGTCCCCGCTGGCTGCTGCCAAACGAATGAGCTCTGATGCTAGCGCGTTGGCACAGTTGGAGACCTGCTGGTATGTGAATTGCAAGCGTGTGCCAGACTCCAGGTCGGTCAAAAAGTCAATGGCAATTCGATGTGGGATGTCCCGTGCCATCCGCTCGAACCACGAATGCAACAGCACCGGCTTCGCATTACGGGCAGTGCTTCCGTACTGTAGCTTTAGTGCGCTCTCTCCGGGCCACAGTTCAACAGGACATTGTCTTGGAGGCCAATTCAATAAAGATGGTTGCGTCCAAGGCGTGTTCATAGGGCCCGTCTTGTTGTTTTCATTCTCGTTACGGTGGTCGCTATCCTCAATATTTTCAGTGCCGTGCCGTCGCATAAGAATATCTTGCAGCGTTTGGCCCAGTGACAGCAGAGCGGGTTGCGGGATGATATGAGAATGTGCAGCTATCTGCACCTTTCCATCAGAGGTGATATGCAGTTGTATGGCCTAGAATGATTTTATATCAGCGTGCGCTGTCCAAAACCCAAGATCCGTAAATTGCTACGATTGGCTGTGTCTAGAAATTGTCACGCTTACCTTTCCTGGTCCGATGGAAAAGTCTGTAGGCAGATCGTTATCACAGTTTCCATTATAATGAACAATGGACCAGTTGCCGGCAGCCAGCTCGGTTCCATCCATCCGTGCCTCGATAAAGCCACCGTGCGTCGTGTCTTGGATGCACAAGGCCTCGCCTCGTTCGACAGAGATGTAAGAAACGAGTTCCACGAATGCCTGTAGAGCCACAGGCTCGTAGATTGGAAAGCCGAGAGAGCTTGACCAAGTCAACAGTGTCGACGGAGTACCGTCATGTACTCCTGTTTGTTTGGTGTGCAGTGGCCGAAGATGCGTTGCCGACGGCCTTGCTGGCAGGGATGTGGACGATTCGCTATGCATTGTGACTCGTGATTGTCATGTCGTGCCAAAACGCGTTTGTGGAAGTTTGTTAGTTGAGGTGTCGTAATGTCGTGATGATTTGCCACTAAGTATTGTCACGTTGTGTCAAACACGATAACATTAAACAGAAGCAAGCTCCGGTGGTGACTATGGCACCGACCTGCCAACCGTTGTTCGGACAGAAATTTTCCTTTACCTGTGTTCATTTACGTACCACAATTTCATACGGATTTTCTGAGATTTTATTTTCACTAATTATTTTAACACTATTTAAATTTTGTTGGTCCTTCTTCTTTAAATTAAACCCTGTTTATGCAAACTTGTACTGCGTAATATGAATTCAGCTGTGCACGTTCTGGGGCTCCAAACTTGTGTTTGGTCTGCTGCCAGCCGATATCGGAATCCGTCTCCGTGGTTTGTTAGTAGGAATGCTTGAAACATGCTGATCGGATAGATGGAACAAAAGCCATTTCCTTTCTCACATCGAACTTTTGCGCGTCGAACGATAAATTGTTAGCTGAGGCAAAGTGCCAAGTCCCTTGGCTCGTCCGACATCTTTCGTCATGCCGAGCGCAGCTAGTAGCGACAACAATGATATTTTTTGCTTCTTTTCCTGACCTTGCCTCAGGCAGCTGATTAGATTGATAAAATAAGATTGATAAAATAAGATTGAAGATTGATAAAATAAGATTGCTAACGGAGTGGAGCCTGATGGATCATCCTTCCCATTTCAGTCGTCTCCGTTCCCTGTCGAAGCACCTTTTTGGGTTAGCCCAAACTCCCTACTGTGAATACTCAGCCGACATACGCGTGTGGGGGTCCTAAAACCTGGTCGCCCACAATTTGAGCACCGTATAACACAGTGCCATAACATTGGCAGGGTACATTTCGGACCTGATCGGCTGAAAATATCACGGTCCACCTAAGTGTTACGTATTCGATACTTCGCAACGAGTTCAAATGAGTTCAGGAGAATTGAGGGAAATACAGCTGTGGCCAACGCGATACCGCCATTCAGCGTTCGTAATCAAATTTTAAAATGAACTGTTTGAGATTTTACTCTGCACCACATCCATTGGATGGTCTTTTCTCGGCATCGGTTTTGTGTAGCATAAGTATGTGTGCTAGTAAAAATACTAGAACAGAAACAAATGTGTTTTTGACAAGGTAACAACTAAAGATTTGTAGTGGACGCCGTACTTGCAAACGCCTCTACTTGAACACACGCTGTGCAACACGAAGTTAAACAACTATACGTGACTGTAACATAGGTTGTTCAAATAGGATTTAAGGGCCATCGACTACCTAAAACAATTGGCAAATAAATGACAAGACTAAAGGAGAGGAAGAATACAGCCAAGGAACCAAATAAACGTCGTCAGTACCGCAAATGCCGCAGCCGTACAATACGTTTTAGTCCATTGACCCCCGCGCGGGCAAGAACACGAACCAGGAAAACGACAATGGAACCACATAAACCTGACTAGAAATGAAACAGAATTAAAACGGATGCTAGTAGTAGGGATTGAATCAACAAGTACTTTTTTGAACCGAGCAGCTGAAGATGTGCCAGCCAAGGCAGTTTGCATAATCACTTAACCGAGATTTTGGCGGCGTCACAGAGTGCTCGGAATAAACCGGCCTTTGCATACAGCTCGGATGCTGAGCCAAACTCAGCTACAGTTCCTGAATCCATGACCACTATCCGGTCACAAGAGCCGATAATAGTATCGAGACGATGGGCTACAGTGAGCACGGTCGAATTGCTCATAAACTCGCTCAATATGCGCTGAAGCTGGCGATCAGCACGTTCGTCAATGGAGGCAGTTGCCTCATCAAGGACAACTATTTTAGCCTTGCGGACGAGAGCACGAGCAATCGAGATAAGGGATCGCTGGCCATGGGAGATGTTGGACCCGTTTTCCCCGACCTCCGAATCAAGATGCAGGACCGAGGCAGAGACAGTATTGCCGTAATTGCCGCTGCTGTTGCCATTGTCGGCAGCGGCGTGGACTCTGGACATGTTTGCAGCCAAGTGAGTATCATTTTCTTTGAGACGCTGCTGCGCAGTAAGTCCAACCATGTGCAGACATTGTGTGAGCCATACATCGTCATGCTCGTGGAATGGGTCAAGATTGTAGCGAATCGTCCCGGCCAAGAGAACCGCGTCTTGACTGATAACGGATATATGAGACCGAAGAATATGAAGGCCAACTGTTTGTATATCAACACCATCGATAAGAATACGGCCACTGGTCGGTTCCGCGAGTCGTAGGAGAGCAGTGATCACTTGTAAGGTTAGTATGTAGAAAGAAAAATAAATCACACAGAGATGCAAACAAATATACGTACGAGTACTCTTCCCGGCCCCGGTGCGCCCGACAATACCGGTGCGTGAACCTGGCTGGATATCCAAACTCACATCTCGAAGCGCAGGATCGTGGTCTGAGCGGTGGTTCAACGTAAGTGACTCAAACTGTACATGTCCTCTACTCGGCCATGACTGTTTGCGAAGTTCTGTGTCAACGTCTTGAACATCATGTGTAGCCTCCTGTGGTATTTCGTTTGCATAATGAAGCAGGCGCTCGATCGAGTTCATGTTGTTTTCAATCTCTGCGCTGAATCGGATCATGTTCCCAAACGCCGCCTGGGCCGTTACCATGTATGATAACACCAAGCCACCAGTCGATGGGTTAATGTGGTCACGCAAACCAATGGCCAGCAGGCCCGTGCCCAGAACCAAAACGGCGCCCAAAAGATCAAGCCGTATGTTTAACCAACGGACGGCAGCGACTGAGAGCCAATATGCCGTGTTCTCGGTGTCAATGCGGCGCGCGTTATCAGCGACGAATCCTCCGACTCGCCCAAAAGTTGTCAGTGTGGGCAGTCCAGAGAGGGTCTCAGTAAAGTGCTCATAGATGCGGCTGCGGAGAAGATTGTTGAGGCGGCGCAGCTCACGGGCCGATGGTCTGTAGTACATGCCCGTCCAGGTATAGATGAGAAGCACACCGGCGGCAATCCCAACGAAAATGGGCAGGATTATGCTGACGACAACCACGGTGCCGACAACCTGGACCAACGTCGAAATGAAGATACGCAACTGCTCACCGACCACGTTGTCCATGGCATCCGTATCCTTACTAAATCGGTGAGTGATTCTTCCCTGCGGCGTTGTGTCGAAAAATGAAACCGGCGCATACATGATGCCGAAAAGTGAAGCCGCGTGAAGGTGATTTGAGCACCAAAAGCAAAACAAGGCAAATACTGCGCTCATGGTAAACAGGCCAAGTGACTGACCGATGCCCCAGGCAGCATAGCCGGCCATGTAGCCACCCTCGCTAATGTCGAGATATTTTTTCGTTTGCCACCAGCTGAGCCACAGCGTAGAGACGACACTGCTGCCCTGAAACACGGCGATGGCTAGAATGAACAGAGGCACAGTGATCAATGCGTTGCCAAATTTCAGGTAGTCCAAATACGTCTTTCCACTGACTGTGCCAACGAGACGCTCTTCGCGACGCATAATCTCCCTACCTCTCCCCTTCTGGTTGTGTTCAATTGTCTCTGCGGGCGCAGTGGCCCCATTCTTGATGTTGTCATTTCTCCCTTCCACATGCATCTTCGACTTTTCAGATGTTTGGATGCTCATGCCATCGTCATTCTTGACCGGTGATGTGTCTGCGTAGGTCGTTTGGGCCACGGTTGAAGACCTATTGTACTCGGCGAATGGACCCGCTCGCCTCATGAGCTCGGAAAATGAGCCCTGTTCCATAATACGTCCACTGTCCATGTAGACAATGTGATCCGCTTGACGAGCAAGTACCATTGAATGTGTAACGAGGACGATCGTACATTCTCTGGCGTGACGCGTTTGGTTGACCACGTTTTCAAATACGCGGCTGCCAACGTGAGCATCCAGTGACGAGAAACAATCGTCGAGAAGAAGAAGATGACTGCGGCCATACACGGCACGAGCCAAAGAAATCCTCTGCTTTTGGCCTCCGGACAACGAAACACCCTTTTCACCAATTATGGTCATGTCGCCGTCGATAAGCATTCGGAGGTCGTCATCAAGACAACAGCGACTGAGCACGTCACTATACCAGGAAGCATCAAAAGGGCGCCCGAACACAATGTTTTCTCGCACAGTCTCGCTGAGAAGCCAAGCTTCCTGAGAGACGTAAGCCACTGGTGACAACGAGGTGGACGTATCGACGTTGACGACACAAGATTCAGCCTTGGAAAGGTGCATGTCACCCAGAAGGGCTCGCAAGACGGACGATTTGCCGGCTGCAACTGGCCCAACAATAGCCATAAATTGGCCCTTCTCCACCTCAAGCGAATCAATGTACAAAGACATAGATGGACCTGCAGCCTCTTTCTTCGCTTCTCCCAGGACGAGATTTTTCTCGCCAATGCTGGCCTCACTTTCCCATATGGCGCGCAGCTGGTCGCTGTCGTGGTACCAGAAACTAGCATCCTTCAATTGGATGATGGTCCTGCCGTCTTTCAGGTTCCTTCCCTTTTCCGCAAGAGCGTTGCGAAGGGCCGCATCACGGGCCGTGCCGTTGTCGGATGCCAACAAAAATGCCGACAGCCGCTCGAGAGCTGCCTGGGCGTCCGCGAGAGTTGAAATGGCGATGGGCAGCGATCCAAGTGGTGTCCGCATCAAGAGGAAGAAGGTCAGAGATGAAAAGACCACGCTAGCACTCATCCCGTTACCAGTCGTGGCAGCATAGCACAAAATGCTCACGACCGAGGCTAGTGTTGGTGCAGTGAACGTAACGGCAATGTTTAGTGCCCTAAGCATCATGCGCTTGCGGATGTAAACGACCTCATCTGCCCGCAGAGCGCCAATCTTGGTGAGGATGCTATTCTCGTAGGCGTTTGCTTTGGTAAGTCGGATTGTTGATACAGCCTCGACCACAGCCTTGATGCGCTTGTCTGTGCACGGCATACTGTTGCGACGAAGGCGGAACAAGTTCTTCATCATGAACGTCTGCACCGGGTACAGCAGCGCCAATAAACCGAACCCAGGAAGAGCGCTGTACCCCAATGTCCAGATGGTCAGACCGAGGCAGAGGGCAATCTGGATGAAGCTAGTCCATAGTGAATGGAAATAGCCACAGCAAAAGTCAATGCGCGACACGTCGGCGCTGATGAGGCTCGTCAGCTTCCCGGTCGCAAAATTTCCGCGTAGCTTTGCTTCTTGTGTCAATTGTGTCGTGGCTCGGCGGTAAATGACATGTATCAAAGCCGCTCGGAGCAGGATGCCGGTAGTAGCTGCTCGATAGAATCCATGGATGTTCGTCACAACAGAGAAGGCAAGGACAGCGAAAAGACCCACGGCATAGCCAAATCCGGCGTCGTATGCTCGTTTGGATGGGTCATCTAGGGCCTGAATGAAATAGCGGATGAGCAGTGGTGAGATCATCTGCATCGAGTCACCTAGCATCCTTAACATGCCGCCTGTCCAAAAACGCCGGAAACAGACGTCGTTGAGAGCCAGAGCAAGAACTGTGGCATTTGACGTACGTCGTGCCCAGAAAGGCCGCCACGCAAACCATCGTCCCGCCGGTTTCCGGCCTTTGTTTGCTTCCAGGCGTGCCGTCCATGCTTGCTCAAGCCGATCTGCGTGGTTGACGGCGAGACAGGAGTCCGGTAGATCATAAAGGTCGTCCGCTTGAAGCGGTCGGGAATAGCCCGTCCGTAAGAGTGTGCCCAACCAGTTGAAAGTAATAATGGAAAGAAAATTAGCTCGTACTTCCGGGGTAACTGTACAGAAATCGCCGTGTGCATCGTTGGTGATGTCTGTGCCGCTCTCGGTGTTGAATAAAGAGGCCAGACGTGTCTTCTGGTGCCTTTCGGTAAGCTTCTTCCGTATTGGCTTTTGTGACAGAAAGGGGACACGCCTGTACCACTTCCGTGGGTTAAAACTCTTCCCATCATTGCTTGCCATGTTGTTGGTTGTGATGTTGTGAGGCAATCGTTTGAAGCATCGCAGGCAACAAGTCATCTACTGTGAACACTGAAAACTGGAGTAATGTGCGTAAAACCCTAGGCATCACATGTATCCTACCAAGGCCGAAGCCGGAACGCCAGACCACATCATCGGGCACTATTACGGAGAAAGGAAATGAAAGGTACAACATAAGTCACGGATGGGCACCTTGGTGGCCCAAAGAGGCTAGTTTTGCAAAGCTGCACCGGGAACCAAACAGTGGGGGGACTTTATGAAACCCTCATCAGCAAACGAGAAAATTGATTATTCCGACATAATGTTGCAGGAGGTTTGTGGATAAGCAAATGTGACAGTGCAAGGTCGGTCGATACGATGCTATGATAAAGGACAACTGAAGGCCTAGTACCACCCAACACGCAGCACGCAGCACGCAGCACCTAGCACATCCAAAGACATCCGTCACGGATAACGCAAAAAAGACTCAGTGTTAATGGTCGTGATTCTTGTCTAACCTATACTAACAAATAATCGAATAGCCACTTTTAAAATCAAACAAAATGCCCTTCTTGAAAGAAACGGTCTCGCTGCAGTGCAATGAGCATAGATGTCTTGTGAGGTAGATGAAAGCGCTTTTTCTTCTCCATTGGAATAAAACGCTCCTGGATACCGAGCGCTGAGAGTCCAATTTGCGGCTCGCCTATAATTTGTTTTGTCCGTGCGTCGCGCAAGAAGGCAAAATGCTTCATGGAGAGGTTGGCCGCCTGGTATCGCTTGCCGCCGCGAAATTTCTCTTCGCCTACTAAAAAGTGCGTGTTTTGGTCAAACTCCCCGATGACGACATTGCAGTTGGATCGGATAAAGCAAGCCACGTTGTCCTCCATCACATACCCAATCTCCATGTAACCGGCTAGTTGCCCATCCCACTCGTAGACACACGACATGGTGTGCGGGTCGGCCAATTGCTGAGCGAGATATTTGCGGTGGTGATCGTCCGATCCGCGTTCTCGCCAGCCGGCGTTGACACGGTCTGAGTTTTGCCACCGAACGTAGTGCTCGAAGTGCACCGGGTTGCTGGCGTCAATGTGATAGATGCGGAGCTGCTCGCCCAGTTCCACAATGTACCGTGAGTACAACAGGGAGCCTGGTGCAGGCTTCGGAGGCCTCACCGGGTGTACCGTGCAGACATTGCTGTCGCGCGTGAAGCCAATTTGACTTGGAAAACTACCAGTACCAGAAAACGTGGGAAACAAGGTGACTTCAGGACGACTGCGAACCCACGTCTGAGTACTCGGCGCTCCTGCGCCCTGCCAGAAAGCCTCGCGGTGTAGCCAGAAAACCGTATTCGCGGGCACATCTGTTGTCGTGGACGATGAGGAGGAGAACGGTGAGATTATCCCCAGGCCCGTGGACCGGAGGTAAGACGCCAACCGCTCGCTGTTGACGACGACTGCATGCAGGTCTTTGTCCCGAACACGGGGATGCAGCCAGAGAGCGTAGACCGCTGTCCATAGAAGACTGATATCCTCAGTTTCTGTATCACCACTGATGCCGGTTGATGGGTCACCCGAAGTGACAATGTCAAAGCGGAATAGGTCGTCGTACTCGGCCACATTCTCGTTAATCATTGCCGGGGAAACACAGACCTTTTTCCCCAGGGCTGTCCAGCGACCCAGAGTGATGGCCGCCAGACCTACCGAGAAAGTGACTTGGGAATCGATCTCGTCTGAAGTAATCCACAGCTCATGTTTGCCATCCGGAAGTCGGAACGTGATTGTCGTATCTTGCGGCCGTTGGCCGGTGTCCTTTTGGATGCTGCCCATATCTGCGGCTGTGTGTCAATTTTGGTCGTGTTGTTTGACGACGAAGCATTCGAAGGCCGTGTTAAACCCAGGCAGAACTACCGATATATCATGAAAATGTTCATCTACCACCTGTAGAAGATTATGTTCCATACTGAGAAGCTATGCCAGGTGTATCATGGTGTCCACATTCTTGGCTCAGGCCACCCTGCACGCCAAGCTGCACGCCAAGCCGCATTAAATTAAAATGAGAAGCGGTCCCACCCCAAAAATACAAGAATGAAGTGGTATGTTAGACGATTGCTGAATTGTGACGCGGGGGTCAGCTCCGTGCTCCGTTACCGGACGTGAGCCAGCATCTTATCAGATTAGATTTTTGTTTTCGTTGATGATCGTCCGTCAGAGTTTTCGCCCACCCTTGCACCGTACAGTACATAATTCCATCTTTACACACTATGTACATGAGCTGCCGAGACAAAAGTTAAATGGGAGTACGACAAACTCACACTTGTCCCTTGCCACGTCCCCACGACGATCACTTTCAACAACGTCGTGTTTCGACCCCCTAGGCGCCGGCTCGTCCGCATAGTTGAAATTTGCACGCACCAATTATGATTTGCTTTCCGCAAAAAACAAAGAGATAAGAATCAGTTCGGTGTTTCTCGATGCAAATTTCTCACTTTTCCCCGTACAATAGCGCTCTGCCAGTGACGGTGTAGTAGCCGGCCGCGTAAAGCAAAGTGGTCCTTGCTACTAGGGCTGTTTGGCAAGTCGACAACGGTTTAATATTGTCTCCTCTAGGCAAACACCTTGGCAAACTGAGGTCGAATAAGAAGTATGACTCCGTAGGAAAACATGAGACGACCTTCTCACTACTTGTATGCACCACCACTATCTTATTCGCTTTTCTCTCGACCTAATTCTAAACTACTTGGCAGAGTGATTTAATTGCAAGCCTTTCGTGAGCTCTTTGAAAGGCAAGTGACCAAAATCAAGAAAGTGAGAGGCACGGAACTCTTGTTTGCTTTCGCGCTTGCCCAACTCCACCTTTTACTTTGTCTGTTCTCATTCACTCTTCCATCAGCTTCCCCCTTGAAATAGTTCACTTATTTATTCCTCCCGTGCCGCTCACGTCTATTTCTTTTTGAAGCTACTCTACATCATCTCCCTTCTACATGTGGTCATCCAGCTGAAACTTGTTCACAATATCCTAGCCTCCAAGCCCCCAGACTTTGGTCGATTCACCGTTTTCTTTCTCAATTCATTCAATACAGCATAACGCCACTGATCAACAAACATGTCTACACATCCCGCAGATGATCAGCCTATAAGCATGGTTCCCATGAGCATGCCATCCACGGAATCTCCTAAAGGGCACGAGTTGTTCGACATCTCGGAGAAGAGAGAAGCGGAAGCGACCGTCACCGATACTCAACACGACACCGGAGTTAGTCGTGTTGAGGCCTTTAACAAGGTGCTGTACCGGTCCGGCAAGAAGGGCAAGGTCCTGCTGTGGCTGCTCGGCATTTCCATCTTCCTCACCATGTTTGTCTATGCACTGGACCAAGGCATCACGTCTACCATATTCAGCACGCTGGCGGCGTCGACCTTTGGGGTTCATAGTCAAATTGGAACTGTTAGCACTGCCAGCCAGATCATTCGTGCAATCAGCAAGCCATTCATTGGCAAGATCGCCGACATCACCTCGCGGCCTACGACGTACGTCATCATCCTCGTCTTCTACGTCGTGGGTTTTGTTGTCGCTGCCAGTGCCAGTAACTTTGCATCGTACACTGTCGGCGTTTGCTTCACCTCCATTGGCAAGTCTGGCCTCGACTTACTTAGCGACATCATTGTCGCCGATCTGACACCATTGGAATGGCGTGGCTTCTTCAGCGCATGTTTATCACTCCCCTTCATTGTCACAGTGCCTGTTAATGGTTTTATTAGCAGTGGCTTCTACGGCAACTGGCGCTGGGGCTTAGGCATGTTTGCCATTATGGTGCCCGTGCTTCTCATGCCTGCTATCCTGACACTCTACACGATTCAGCGTCGTGGGAAGCAGGCCGGCATGGTCACAATGGCTGATTCGAAGGATGTTCGCACAGGCCGTACCGAAGCATCCACTGGCAGCATCGCATACTGGGCCCATTTGGCGTACCAAGGACTTATCGACATTGATATCTTTGGCCTCTTCCTTCTGGGCTTTGCCTTCTCCCTCATCCTCCTGCCTATTACACTAGCTGGTGACGCTAAGAATGGTTGGCACAATCCGAGCATGATTGCCATGATCGTGGTTGGCTTCGTCTTTCTCATCTTGTTCGCGCTCTTCGAGTACTTCGTGGCCCGCAAGCCATTGATGACTCGCAACATCTTGAACAACCGCGCTTTCATCGCTGGCGTCATCATCCACACCTTCAACCAGCTTGCGTCAGCCGTCCGCAACACCTACTTCTCGTCATACATTCTCATCATCAAACAGTGGACGACGTACCAGTGGACCATTTTCCTCGGCATCACAACTATGGGTCTCTGTATCGTCGGCCCCTGCGTCGGGTTAATCCACCGTACCACACACCGATACAAAACTGTTATGGTGCTCGGTGCTGCAGCTAAGGTCCTCGGCTACGGTCTGCTGATCCAGGGCAACGGCAACATGACGCAGGACACGGTACGCCTGGTTGCGGCGCAGCTCATATTCTGCCTTTCATCCCTCAACGTTGTTAGTGCCCGTGTGGGTGTGCAGGCATCCGTCCCCCATAAAGATATCGCATCACTGATCTCGATTATTACGTTGTGGTCGACCTTGGGCTCAAGTGTTGGAAGTGCCGTTGCATCGGCCATCTGGACCAACCAAATGCTTGATCAGATGCGCGTGGAGCTTCCCGGAGTTCCCGAGTCTACTATTAAGACTGTGTACGGGAGTATTCGATCCTTACGAAAGTACGACTTCAATGATCCCGTCAGACAGGGCTCTATCCGTGCGTACGCTATTGTCAATGGCCACATTACTACGGCCTCAATCTGCCTATCTGTCGTTACACTCTTTGCTTCCGTCTGTATGCCAAACTTTTATCTCGGAAAGCAGCAGAACGCCGTCGACAACAAAGGCCTCGACGGGTCGTCTATCGATGTCCCACAAAATCGTAAGGAAGACACATCAACGACTACGCGGCCATTTTGGAAGAAACTTGTTACCTTATATTATAAATAAGTAGTAGTAAGTACGGAACACTGTTTTATATTAATACTATTACTCAATCACCTTAGTCACTCCTCTTACACTTTTTAGAGCGTGTGCGTTGGTGAAGACCACCTTCTCATTCGTAAAATTTTGTTGCAAGGACGGCAGCTAGGTTGGGTCACGTGCTGTATTGTTAACGGGCAGCGTCCTACCCGCTGCTACCAAGTGGTGCTGCACCGACTTGCAGACTTTGCATACACAAACCACATTACAATTCCAGTAGGCACCCTCCCATCTCCTCGTACACGCGACGATATGGGCCGGTAAGACTTTGGTCTTGTCACAAATGTCGCGATTAGCGTCCTACCTTCGCGATCGACTCTATCAATCGTTTCATCTTCTTACAATTGAATACATGCCCAGTCTTGGCTCGTACGTTTATGCGCTGTTTTATTACCTAAAAAGGACTTCGTGGTGCCATCTCATTCTTATTTTCTTGCCCATGGTTCGAGATCATTTTCGGCGGGCCGAGAACAAGGAGGCTAGTTGCCCGTCGTATATCAATACTTTACTTAAACTGGCAATGTTGAACCTTTGGTATGCTTGTTTCTTGAAAGCCTACGCCCGAGAAAGTCGTCGAGGCGCGATTACTTGCGTAACAGCTTCACGGTACGACTTGCACCATTCACGTATTGACTCTGTGATAGCCTTTCTTTGTCGTCTGAAAGATTTTTTTCGGGGGAGTACACTTTATCTTATCCTTTAGTTTAGAACGAAAGTCCGCGAGCTATTATATTTGATCCCAAAAGGGAAGTACAGAATACCTTCGAATTATATACAACTAATAACCAGATGCGACCTGTGTTGTATCACCGTATTATCGATTATACTTACTTCGGGCGTAATAGATACAAAAATGTCTCAGCCATTTTCCTTTGTCTTCGTTTCACCAACAATGAAGCAGTCGGAGATGTGGCTGTCGTTACGGATACACCGGAGACCGGGCAATCTAGACACTAGACCTAAATCTTCTCACTTCGGGCGTATCGGCCGGTGCCTCTTTGTCGGGTCCGCATTCTTCTCTTTCGTATTGAAATCTTCCGGGTGAAGCCTTAGCAATTTGACTACGCCGGGCGAGTTCGTGTTCCTAATATGGTAATTCTAATATCTTAATCGATTTGAGGGAAAAACTTCATGTAAGATGAAGAGCGTACCAGACGTTTTAAAAGACATGGGTGGTCCTAAAGGAAAGATATAAGAGGTCCCCTGGCTCATGCTCCTCGCGATAGATATTCCATCTCTCCATTCGACTTCAGCTTGAAACCTTTTGTTTATCTGAAAATCTACTTATCGCGCGAATATACGGAAATACCTTGCCACCATTCACATCCGCCATGCATTACTACAATAAGCTGAAGTTTCTGGCTTTGGCCTCGGTATTTTCGGTTACGTCTGCGCATCCAACTAGCGGTCATTATTATGACGACGCGGAATCGGAGGCTTGCTTGAACGGCAAGGCCGTCTACGTGACTTCGAACACGGAACACAACTCTGTGGTTGCCATACCCATTGCCCGGAACGGATCGCTTCTGCTCAACCACGCCACTTCTACGGCCACTGGTGGTCGTGGTGGCAATGGTATCAACCCGAGAGGCATGCCCGCGGGCCCTGACGCGCTCTTCAGTCAAGGTTCCATTACAAGTGCAGGAAATGTATGTCCATTACCGCCGTAGTACAGTGTGAAGATAAGCTTTTTCTAGTTCTAACATATTACAGTACCTCTTCGCCGTTAACGCCGGTTCCAATACAGTGACAATGCTGGCTATTGATGAACACGACCCTACGAAGGTGACAGTTGTTGGCGAGCCAGCCGAGTTGCCCGGCGAGTTCCCTACAACCGTGGGAGCCTCTGACAAGTTCAATCTCGTTTGTGTTGGTCTCACTGGTGCCAAGGCTGGGGTTTCTTGCGCATCTTACTCGTGGTATGGTCTTGGCCCCTTTGACGAGTTACGGACCTTCGATTTGCACCAGACTACGCCGCCGCATGGCCCTACAAATACGGTTTCGCATGTCTTCTTCTCAGGCGATCAGGAGACTGTGTTTACCACCGTTAAGGGTGATCCAGCGGTTAATAACACTGGTTTCCTGGCTGCCTACCCAGTCGAACACATCCACTCGTCGTGCTATGCCATCCCGTCCGTTTCCCACAAAGGCGTTATCAGCTCTCCTGATGGAACTGCCGTTCTGTTTGGTTCTACTCCTATTCCCGACACGACTAATCTATTCGTCACCGACGCTTCGTTCGGTGCTGCTATCCTCGGTATCGACGACTACGAAGAGGCCTCCACACTCTATAAGACTGTTATTCCGGGCCAAGACGCTACATGCTGGGTTGCCATTTGCCCGGCCACCCACACTGCCTTTGTTACGGACATTCGTATGAACCGCCTAGTCGAAATGTCTCTGGTGAACGCCGAAATCATTGGCGAGCCTATTGATCTGACGACTTTCAATACCGATCCGGGTTTGACGGAGATCCGGTCGGGTGGTAGCTTTGTTTACGCGTTGAGTCCTGGTAACGGGACCACGGAAGCGTGGATTACCGTACTTAATGCTTTGACCAAGAAACCCGTGCAGCATGCGCTTCTTACACCACTGGGACTGGACCGTAACGCCATGGGTATGGCTATCCTGGTGTAGAAGTGGTGTCCCAAATCGGTACTGTTGTGTAGGGGTAATGTTAATGGCCTGGTTTATACTCGGCTTAATCACGGTTTTAAGACGGATGATTCGTCAAGTTTTTTATTTTTTTCTTTCTAATCCCTTCCTTTTTATTTTCATTTTTACTCACCTTTTTTTTAACTTACATATTACGACTTATAGTAGTCTTAATAAAATATATTTACGGGTAAATTAAGCTAATATGAAAGGCGGGCTCAGGGACTACAGTACGATGCGCTTTCCTCTTCTATTTATGCGCTACATTCGTCATTAGTGGCGATGAGAGGTGTCTATCAACCGACTACCTGCAACGAATGAGGCACGGCAAGGAAATCAAGGACTGTAATACTGCCTGCCTCTTTGTAGGACATGGCTATTGTGTTGGATTAAGCTCATTTTCACACATGCGGGGAAATCACGACAACTACAAAGTTGATTAAATGTCATTGGTATTTTTAAAAGTTTCTGATTTTTTTCCAAAGAAAATATCGGGATTGAACAGTATATCAGAAGGACAAATCAGGGGATGTATCAGGTGATAGAAACACAAGACCAACTTATCCAGGGACAAGACCAGAAGTGAGGCAATCAAGGATTCAGGCGAATATTTTAAATACCTTATGTAGGGGATAGGTATAGAATTTGGTTCTAGAGACTAACTATGTACACAATTCTGTGTGGATCCTGTGCAGACTCCTTAAGTCCAAAAAGGCGAAGCCAAGCGCTCCGTTATGAATTGGTGACAAAATTATACGTGGCACCAGGAGCAGTCTTCATCGTCAGGGATACACTTGCATTCACGCGGGAGGAATTGAATGGCAAGGCTTCGGACAATGACAGCGACTGTCCCGTGCCCAGAGTAAGGTTCAGTAGATTGCCGAGACGAGACAACACGGCCACGTGGCTCACCAAACCGTTGGCCCAGGTGGCATTGACGACGAACCCGCCGCGAGCCACCAAGCCAGAGAAGCTGCCGTTTAATGCGGACGGAAGCAGGGCCGGCAGCACCTTCACCACTCCATTGTGACTCTGCAGCAGGGTTTCCGCAATGGCAGCGCAGCCTCCAAAGTTGCCGTCTATCTGGAATCCTGCCGGGGGACCCGAGTCAAGCAGACTGTTGTAGGTGAGATTGCTCAATAGATAGAAGAGGTCATTCTCGGCGCCACGTCCATCGTGGAGACGGGCGTGCAGACTCATAATCCACGCGCGAGACCAACCAATGTTGCCAGATCCGTGACTACACCCGGTCAGTTCTACAGGACTTCCGCCACTGTGACCGGGGGAATAAAAACCACTCACTATACTCTTCGATCGACAAAGGCGCGCGAGGCATTCCAAATTGTCGCATCGGACGGAGTGATTTCGCGTCCGGGATAGAGCCCGTATACAGGCGACAGATGTCGATGGCCCGGATCAGTCTCGACAAAGTCCTCGATCCACTCCATGAGGACGCCGGTAGTGGGGGAGACCCGCAGCGGCGGAAGTTTCGCGTGCAAGTCCATGGCCTGGGCGACAAGAGGGGTGTGCGGCAGATCGAGAATGGTCGTGGCGTCGCGCAGATTGGCAAAGAGCTCACGTAGGATGGAATTATCGATGGTGGACCCAACGGTCATGGCACCGCTGACACTGCCATTGCGATATGAATTCTCCGGGGAAACCGACGGGTTAGTCACTTTCCAACCTTGATAGTCGTCCAGTGTGTCATGGAAGAACTGCGCCGCCTCGTAGAGCAGGTAGTAGTACTTTTTTAGAAAGGCCTTGTCCCCCGTAAACAAGTAATGCTCGTAGACGTGCTGTAGCAGCCACGCACCCCCAAGGGCCCAGTACGATGCAGGGGAGTAAATATCTTGGGGGGCCGAGTCTCCCCAGAGATCGGTGTTGTGATGCAGACACCAGCCTCCCGCTCCGTACATCTGTTTAGCCGTTTTTTTGCCCGACACATAGGCCGTCTCCAGCAGCGAAAACAACGGCTCCGTAAGTTCAGGAAGATCTAATAAGAAAGAGACAAAAAAAGATTAGCCCACCATTCCCGCACCGAGAACACCCACCGCGGGGGCCAACACTCACTGGTTACTTCGGCCGGCCAGTAATTCATCTGAAGGTTAATGTTGACCGTGTACTTGGATCCCCATGCCGGATTCATGTCGTTATTCCAAATGCCCTGCAGGTTCGGTGGCAAGGTGTGCGGCCGCGAGGAGGAGATAAGCAAGTATCGTCCGAACTGGAAGTAAAGACTGGCCAATTCGGCGTCGAACTCGCCGCGGGCGAGGGCCTGGCGGCGCTGGTCGGTGGATAGCGCCTTTTGGGCT